GGTAGACCACATTTGCTTTGCTCCATGATTGATTTGTCCATTCTTCAATAAGTTCTTCTGCACAAGCTTTCAAATGAGACTGCATCTTATCTGGTCTCCTTGCGTGTATTTTCCAGCTGTATTATTTAGAAGATTAAAACAAAAAAAAAAAAACCCAAAAAACAAAACCAAAACAAAACAAAAAAGTTACCCTCAAGTTACACAGCTAAACTGGAAAAGAATTTCACTATTCTGTTTTTGCAAAACCATTTCATGCAGGTTTAGGTTTACATCATTTGCTGAGCTGGCATAAGCTATACCATACAAACAGGTGCAATTAGGACTGATATTCCCAAAGTGTTTCCCAGGGCAGAAATATTCTCAGTTTCTTTCTGATAAAGGTAACTTCTTAACTCTACAAACATTTTTGGAGATTTGATATTGAAAAGTCCTAATATTTTGATACATTTAATCCAGTTCTCGGACGTATGCCATACTGCAACCAACACTGTATATTTTTTTAATCAGTGGTTGTATGGTTAAGAAATCATCTAAATATTAGTTTTTAGAGGTAACATTCCCCCTACAGCTTCCTTTATAGTTTACCTGCTTGTCTGAGGTCTGGATTTACACTGGTGAGATGTTCATAGAAAGGTGGATCTTGGCAGATGCTAACAGACCCTCAGTCCTAGGAGGAGCTGCTAAGGGGAAGAAGAAAAATCTGAGGACATATTCAGTCCCTAAAATGAGTAGCTGTGGACCTGTCAGTACAACAAGAACAAGAATTTCAGCACTGACTCCCATTCAGGACACAGAGTTGAGAGAGAGCAAACGAGGCAGGCAGCAGGGTGGTGGAAGAAGAAATGCTGTGAGCCACAAACTGCACCATGTCCCTTGTGGCTTTGCCTAGGGCCAGGGAAGAGATCAAATGCTAAACTAGGCTGGTGGTAGGAGACAGCAAAGCAGGAGCCAGATGGAAACCACAAGCAGAGAGTTATGGTGTGGGAGCTGAATAGGCAGACACACCAACCTGGAGTCACAGGAAGTGCCTTTGAAGTTATTTCTTCAAACAGGGCTGTCAATGCAAATCAGAGATGCCACCTGCAACAAGAATTCCTAGAAGAAGCAGGTGTCCAGCCAGTGCTGGGCCAGCATTTCTCTCACAGCATCCCTGAGCAGAAAGAAAAGCTCGCCAGAGCTGTGAACAGCAGGCTGGTGTGCTCCCATGGAAGAGACAATGCTGCTCCCAGATGGATTAACCTGTTAACTCTTATGCCAGCTCTTTACAGGGTGATACACCAGGTGCAGGTCACCAGGATCAAAGGGCTTGTGCTTTCATGAGGAGAAGTGCTGAGACACCATGAAGCCTGGCTGACTGCTCACACGTGTGGCAGAAATCCCAGCACAATATCTGGGGCTCACTGGCTCTTGGAGCACACACCCATGGCATTGCACCTCCAGCACTGCCCCTCTGCTTTGCAGCAGTTCCCTTCTTGCCCTTCCCTGCTCTCCACACTCTTGGGAGCAGTCTGGGAGCACGGAACATGCTCTGTGCTTTAGATGACAGCTCGGGAGAGGAGGTGCTTTCGTGGTGCTGGGTGGTACAGGTCAGCAATGCATCCCTTGGAGGGTCCCTGCTGTGTCCTCTCCTCTCAGGAGAAGGAAATTGCAGCTGCCAGGAGGCAGGGGTTATCCTCCCAGCGGGCTTGTCCTCCACAGGACAGCTTTGGACGGCTGTGCTCCATGAAGGCTCAGAGACCCTTCTCCCAGGATGCCCCTTCTCCATCCATATCTTGCATTGAAATGAGAGGAAATCAGAGGATATTGACCCTGACATGGGAGAGGTGTAAAGCCTGACTTTCTGCCCAAACAACAAAAATTCTTCATGTTTTTCTAAGCTTTTTCCTGCATTCAACCACCTGTGGTGATGGCAAATCACCCAGAACCATGGCAGTGCCCGGAAGGGGAGAGGACAGCCAGAGGCTGGTAGAACCCAGGCAGGAGGCAGGAAGGAGGGCTGCAGGGATGACAGCTGCCTTGGCAAAGCAGGCACGGCTGTCCTTCAGTGGGCAGGACATTCGAGGACAGCCTGGAGCTGGGCCAGGAGGCACCAGCAGCCTCTGGGAGTCTGTCTTGGCTCAAAGCAGGAGGTGACAAGGGCAGGGTGGAGGGCACCTCCTGCCACCTCCTCAGCACCTGCCTCAGCTCCTGCAGCCCATCTTCCCCACACCTCCTCCTTAGGGGGGCTGCAGGACGTGCTGGGGAACCGTGCAGGGACCCACACAGAGCACCATGACTAATGTCTGTCCCACCTATTTTAAAGGTCTGTGCTGGAAAATAGCACCATGTCCTTGTCATATTTATTGGATGAGTTTTGCTTTACATGGCGGCTGTCCCCCTGTAGGTTTCCCTCTGTAGCTCTGAGTGGAAAACTAATTTGGCACAAGAGGGAGACCAAGGTGGCCTGTGGGTTCAGACTGTCAGCAGCCATTCTGGGACAGGGGACACTGCAGGAAAAAATGAGTTAATGCCTTCAGGCTGAAATGTGGGAGAAAGCAGCTTTCAGCTTCTCGGAGGTGATATAATGCACACCGATGGCCTTGGCTCTGCCCATGGCCTCCGTCCCCTGCTCCCTCCTGCTCTCACTAATCACATGCAGAATTTAGCAGGAAAATGGATTGTGGTGAGAGGAAGCAGGGATCAAATGTGGAGCAGACACTGAGCAGAGACAAACACAGTTCCCTTGATCATCTGCCTGCTGCCTGGGCACTAACTGAGGCATCCTGATGCTGACTGAGGTTGCCGGTCAGGAAATCAGTACAGGCAGGGACAAACATCAGGAGAGGTGTGAGTGTAGCCCTGATGACCCAAAAATTCTCTGCACCCCACTAGGCCAGGCCAGCTACAGTTCCTCTAACCCTGCACAGACAGGCTGGTGGAACACTGCAAGTGTCCATGCATGGCTGGGAGGCTTAGCTCTGCCTGCTGAGCCTTACAGGGATGAGCAGGACATGAAGCAGAGAGTTTAAGCTTCTCTAAGAGGCTGGACTTTCTTTTGTTCCCTGTCTCAGATGCACTGCTGCAGCCACCAGTGAGTCCGTGGGCTGCCAAAGAGTGAAGGTGACTGTGGTTGGAGCTGGAGATGAAGGGGAGATGCAGAGGGTGCTCCAGAAAACCTCAAATCTTAGTTACTGTCTTCATTGATGAAAAACTGGTAGATTTGGGAAAACATAGTATGGCTTAAAGCCAAAAAGACCTAGCTTGGGGATGCTGAGGAATAGGGAGGACTGAGGAAGATAAAGATGATAATGTTTTTCAGGAGGTGTAGAAACACTTTATTTTATTTGAAGTGTTGTGCTCCAAGTTGGTTCCAATAAAATGCCAGTTCAAAGGCCAAGTTTCATTTTTGTTTCTTTGAGGGGGTGTCGACTTCAGGGCACTTACAGCTTTTATCTTATTAATTATTGTTTGGTTTTATGGTGTTTTTTCCCACTAAAGGGGGAGAGAGTGTGCATTCCTATTGAAGTCAGATTGCATTTTTAAGGGGTTGAGCAGACCCACTTTCAATTGCACATAAATGCAACCAAAGGCTGAGAACAGACACCACCTTTGCTGGCCCAAACTCGACCTTCCACCTAATAAATTGAAGCTGGAGGGATCCTGGAGTCAAACGTTTCTCTTTCAGGTTGCCGCCCAGCCGGGCAAAAGTCAGAGCAGCACACCCTGATCCCAACGGGCAAACAGTGCTGGGCCCTGCTCCTGCCTCTGCCAAGGCAGCTGAGGGGTGCAGGGCACACAAGGCACGCTGGTGTGCACCTTCAGAGGGACAGCAATTCAGGCAAAAGAGCCTCTTACGGGCAAAGCATTGCTGGTACCAGCAGTGGTAGGTCTATTTTTAATGATTTGGGAATGGAGGATGCTTTCAGCAATACATAATTAATACAAGTGCACTTCTGTTGTCTGCCGAGAGGGTGGGAAGGCCCTGGCGAACTTCTGAGGCTGTGAAAGGAAAAAGAAAAGGATGAAAGAATCATAATGCAATCAATCAGTGGAAATTAGGTAGGAGCTAAATGAAAGTTGCTGAGAATAATTTATTGTGATCAGAAATCTGTGGTTGGGCTCTGTTTCTGAAGATGGCCATGCTTCACGGTGCAGTGGAAGGAGCCTCCCTGTCACTGGATTCGATCCTCTGCCCTTGGGAGAATATTCCACCTGCTATAACCCTGAGCCTGATATATCCTTACTCTTAAAAAACCCAAGAGGTTGCTGTCTGAAACTGTTTCAAATAAAAAAAAGAAACAACCCAACCAGTAGTTCCTCCCAAGGTAGAGTGGAGGAATTTCCTCGAAACTCATTCCCATCCTTCCTTAGAAATAAAATTATCACGAGGTAAGCTTCAGCTGTATCCTTCAGAAGGCGAGGAAACCTTGAGAAAGTGATTAAACCTTTTTAAAATTTTTTTTTGCAGTGGAAGATCAGCTCCGAAACAAGACAAGGAACTTCCCGGGGTCCTTCCTCTTTATGATGCTGTAAAAACTGCAAGTGCGTGCAGGGCTGTCCAAGCCCGGGGAGCGAACAGCAGAGCCCTTGCCCTGGAAAGCCGAAAGCACGAGCGGACGGCAACGCGCTGCAAGGCAGGGCAAACACGGCGGCTTCATTTTTGTCAAGAGGATAAAAAAAAAAAAAAAGTATACATATATGTATAAATAAAGAAGGGAAGTGAAACTAAAAGGAGGGTTTCTGCACTTCTATTTTAAAATTTTTAAAATTTAGAAAGCGTGGTATTTCTGGGGGGGAAAGGGGAACTTTTCCGAGGCGGGGCGCGCAGCCCCTCAGCCGCTCCCAGCCCTCACGGCCCCGGCAGCGCCGGCGGCGGTGCCAGAGGCGGTGCCGGCGGCGGGGGAGGGCGGGAGCGAGGGAAGGCGGCCGGGAAGGAGGAGGCGGTGGCGGCGGCGGGAGGCCGTGCTTGCTCGCGGTTGCCATGGGGAGCGGGAGGGCGGCGCCGCCGCCGCTGCGCAGGGAGCAGCTGCTCCCTGACACATCCCCCCGCTGCCATATTGTGTCCGCCGCCGGCCGCGCGGCTTCATGACCGCGGTGAGTGCCGCCCGCGCCCGCCGCCCCCGCGGCCCCACGCCTGCCCGGGCTGCCCCCGCGCCTCCCTCGGGTTTAGCTCTCGCCTTTCCCTTGGGTTTGGGGGGTGAGTTTTTTTTGTTCCCGACGCTCCGCGAGGGTTTCGTGGGGGAAGGGGGAAAGCGCGGGGAGTGTGGCGGCGGGTCCCGCTGGTGCCGGGGAAGCGGGGCGGGGGAGGGCGGTGTGGCCGGTGTGTCTCCTCATTCCCCGCGTGGGGACAACGCGCGGAGGCGGCGCTTCCCCTCTCCAGCCGCTCCCGGTGCCGGTGCGTGGGAACGGGGGGGTCCCCGTGCACCCGCGGCTCCTCCTCCTCCCGGCGCGGCCCCGCGGAGCTTCCGCCCTCCCTCCCGCGGGGTGTACGCGGGTGATCCCCCCCGCCTTCAGCGCTGCCCGGCGGGGCCAGCCCGCGCTCCTTGCGCGCTTCCAGCTGCGGGCATGGAAAGCGCGGCCGGCACCTGGGAGCGCGGCCCCGCCGTGCCCCTCGCCGCCGGGTCACCCCCGTCAGACCCAGGCGCTTCCTCCGGTGAAATAAAGGCGCGTTCGGCCTCGTTCCCCCGAGCGGCGGGAAGCCCCCGGGGATGTGCGGAGCGTCCGTGGCTTGCGGAGCTGGGGGCAGCGTGGGAGAGGCGCTCCGGGGTTCCCGCGTTTTGGGGTAAAAATCCAGGAAACTGCTGGCGGAGTGCTCGAGGTCAGGCTGGGATCTGCACGTGGCCCTTCGGAGTTTTCCCGTCTTTTTCGAGGTTTTTTGGTGAAGTTGGGAGATGAGTTGGTGGCGGCAGCAGCGGAGCAGCATCCCACTGCCTTCCTGCCTTGCTCTGCTTGGACACACCGGCGTGCTTGTGCTCAGGTTCTGTGCGAGCGGAAACTGGCTTTTGTTGGTGAGGGTTTGGATTGTGACAGGGCCCAAACAAAGAGTAAAAGGAACAAAGAAATAAAATAAACCTTGAAGAGGACCAGATAAACTCATGTTCCTGCCGAGGTGCCTGCCTGTGGATGGATGCTGTGTTCTCAATGTGGAGTTAAACGTGCTGAATTATGGTAGACTTAAATGCTGAGAAAGCATTTTGATTAGCTTTGTGCCTAATCTATGAAATCAAGATAACTTTATATATAATTTACCATATATATGTGTGTGTATATGTGCACACAGACACTCTCCAAATCTTGTTATTGGTGGGCTTACATTCAGACAAATTTAGTAATAGGTGGGTTGTAATATATTGACATATGAATCATTTAACTTCAGTTGTGTTTCTTGGATTGGGGTCTTTTTTCTCCTCCTTAAAGTCTGGTGTGATGCTACATCTATGCAAGAAAACTTACGTCAGGAAACTTGAAGTAGTTTGAAGGTTGCTTTTTTTTTTTTTTTTTTTTCCCCTTGACAGGTGCCTGCTCACATTTCCCAAGCTCTGCAGAAGGTAGCTGGAGCTCTGTAGTGGCAATTAGTGCAGCCCAGGGCTCGAGCTGGTGAACTTAGCCGTGTGCCAGGGTGTGTTATCTCTGAGCTCAGCCATGCTGCTGCAGCAGATCAGTTTCTGCTGGGGGCTCACTTGTGTCCAGCTGTGCCACTTAACTTTTGTAGAAACAGAGAGGAGGTGGTGATTCTCGCTTCGTGTGTTTGAGTTGCCTGAAATACGTATAGGACTTTTCTGTGCTTTTGTTTGTTATCAGATGTGCCCATGAGCTGGGCAGTGCTGCTGTGCTGCTACACTTGCAGACTGTGGTGGAGATGCTGCCCTGCAGGTCCTGAAGGGCGCTGGAGGCACTGGCCCTGTATCAATCCAGGCTTGTGGCCCTGAGCACTCTCAGGGACCTTGCTGGGATAAAACTTGGTTGATGTCTTTGTTGGGAGTGTCTGGACCAGAGGATGAAGTTGTGACTGCTGGGGCTGCTGTGCTGAAGGACCTCCTCAGGGATATTTCAGCCCAGAAGTAAGGTATTTTTTGTCTAAAAGGGGCACCAGTTAAGGAGTGTGCTGCCTCAACAGTTCCAGCTCCCACAGAATTTCTGCTTGAGGAGCCTTTCAGTGTCCTCCAGAGAGCTCAGGATTGAGGCCACCAGCATTGCCAGCATGTGTCAGGATGTGCCAGTCCAGTAAGTAATGGAGCAGCTAGAGGTGTGTGTAATGGTCCTGCTGAAGGAGAAGTACTGCCTGGCAAGTGAGTGGAGTGCCTTGGAAACAAGACAGAGGCTTAGGGACATGTCAGGCTGATTTTTGCCATCTTTATTAGTCACAGACTCTGTTCCACTCAGTGCAATAGACTTGAAAACCTGACACATTGAGCAAAAGCAAACTCCCCTGGTGAATGAGGTAGTTTGGCATCTGAAGATGGCTCTGCATGGGTATGGTGCAAACTGGTGAGAAAGCCATGCAGAGCTGTTGGTTCCCATAACAGCAGAACAAGTTTTCATGTTGGTTTCACTGGGGTTATAATTCCACCTTCCTGCTCTGTCAATTCCACCCTGCCTACTCGTTGTTGGGGTTAAAAGGAGCTGGTATTTACGAGGAAGTACCCCAGGCTCTCAGAAGGCTTTTTCCATGTGCAGGTTTGTGATACCTTATCAGAAAGAGCTGCACAGAGGGATTATAGCCAGCGAGGTGGCAGAAAGGATGGGCTTTGGGAGGAGGGATAGTGTGCCCACAGCCACTGCTGCCATGCACCTCTTGATGCTGTTCCCTGCTCTGGGATAGTCTTACTGCACTGCTGTGGTGCAAAACAACCTGGGATGGAAATGGATGGATGGAAATGGATGGAAAGCAGCCTCTAGTTCCCATTAGTAAATGGCTGTCAGCAGTCTCTATGAATGCTCACGACCTTTTAGCAACTTCTGGGTTATTCCCTTTGGCTCCTTGTGCATTTGCCATTCCTCCCCTCCTGGTAAATGAGTGCATTTTGTGTAAGGGTGTCACTGCACTGATGGTAACTTTTCCTGAGGGAAGTGGATGGAGGCAGTGAGTGCCCCATCCCGGTGTGCGTGTGCTGCCATTCCACCACTGAAACGGTGTTGGGCAACTTCCTGCAGCTCGGGGTGACTCATGGTGGAGCCCAGCTCTGCTCTCAACAAGTGCCTGCTTGCAAACCCTGTCCACATGGGGAGGCTCCCTGTGCCTGCATCTGGGCTCTTTCCAGATCCAGTGTCTGCCAAAGAGGACACAAGAGACCTCTGGGATGCTGCTTCACTTTTTTCCTGGCTCAGTCTTTATGTGTGATAGGTGTGTGTTTGTTCCCTGGCACATTGCACCTGCTGATTTGGGGATGGTGCTGGGTGATGGTGAGCTCTCCATCTCATCCTCACCACATGGGTAAAGGCACCAGTTCCATGAGCTCTCCATCTCATCCTCACCATGCTGGCTAAAGGCACCAGTTCCATGAGCTCTCCATCTCACTGTGCTGGGTAAGGGCACCAGTTCCATGAGCTCTCCATCTCATTCTCACCACATTGGGTAAAGGCACACAGTGATGTTCCGTGGTGGTTCCAAAATACAATTTAGGTCAGCAAGAAGAGACAGCTCACAATGCTTGGGTAATAAATGACATGGAATGAAAGAAGTACTGCCTGATGCCAGCCAGCATCTTTATGACCCCTGGTGCTCTGCCTGCTCCCTGTAAAACATTATGGCTGTGGGAGCACAAGGGTTGGTCACTCCAGGCTGGGAGGGTGCTGTTGAGTGCTCAGTGCTGGTCTGTATGATCAGCAGCTGGGAAACATGGCAGCTGTGTTTGGGGCAGGAATACCCACCCATTTCATTGAGTGGTTGCTCAGGGGCACCAGGACCATTTTAAGATAAGCCTGTAATTTGTGCAAATAGGAATACTTATACTGAAAGTCAGTGATGTGAATTTTGACTTTTTTGTTCTTTTTGCTGAGTGCGTTCAAAATGTTTTCTTGAAATGTTCAGACTAGACTTAGTGCTCCCTTCTTTTTCCTCAAGGGTTGGAGAATGTTAGGGACTCCATTAAATTGACTACTGCAGGCATCATCACCCACCCCTACTCTTCTGCACACTCAGTCTTGGTGTCTTCTCTCAGGTTATTTTCAGTGCACTCCCATCTTGCAGTTTGTCACTACTTTTAGTTTCCCAGTTTAAGTGTGGTGCCTTGCTTTCTTTTCAGCAGTGTCACTGGGTTTTGTTGTGCTAAGATTTGGGGCAAGTACGTGGTTGCCTAAAAGCTGAGTACTGGGTATGAAGAGAGCTCAGCACCTGGAGAAGTTTCATGAAGTAGAGCTGAAGGAGTGGGAATTGGGAAGCTTCCTGCTAAGCAGCATCCACTCATCATCCCTTGTCCCCTGGTGAGTGGGGATCATCCCCACACCAGTTATCAGCCAATCTGGTTTGGTTTAGGGATGTTGAGTAGTCAAAAGTAGGAGGGTTTTTTGTTTGCTTTCTTCTTTGTTTAAACAGGAAGCCAAATTCCACACTGGTGGAATAAAACTAAAAGCAGGTTGGCCAGGGAGGTCAGCACAGTGAGGAGCATTGCCTTCCCTGGGCTCTGGAGGAAATCTTGCACTTTGTGAGCAGGAGCTGGGAAGTGGCAAGTGGGGACAGCTTTGCAGTCACCAAGTTGTCCTGATTATGTGGTTTTGTGATACAGCTCCAGTGGGGCTTTCCAGTTAAATCTTGCAGAAGGGTCACTTGGGGTGAAGCTTCAGGTTGTTGGTTTTCCACTGGAAATTGGGAGTTTTGGTACTTTAAAGGCAGAAAAGCTGTGTGGAAAAGATAGCTTCATGTTTTCTAGCATTGGTACATTGGTACTGACACCAGCTGAAATGTAGCTGTGTTCACTTCTGTTTCAAGAGGATGGTAGGGAAACACACAGAAAGGTTACCCTGAAAAGGGAATTAGCATCAGAATTATTCCGCAAGTCATTTGCTCAAATGGCTCACTTGTGAACATGTCAGTGGTTTACATTTTATTTTTTTTGCATTTTAGTCCACTTAGCAAGCGCAGTATTGAATTTGAG